CTGATAGCAAGTCTGATCTGATACTTATATTTACTGAGGTTAAATGTTAAATCTGATATACCAGCTGTAGGCTACTTAAACTGACACACTTTATTTTCATGACCTATTTGATACAAACACTGGAGGACCTGGTTCAAAGATATAAAATTGATAAGTTATTATTTATAAGTTTACTGACGTGACACGATCAGTGGCGGTTCTTCTTACAAAAATCTGGGAGTACAGATTCTACACAAACCTGACAATAACCAAGTTTAATTTCAGCTGGTCAGGGAATTAACATAGTGACAATTGATTTCACTGGCTGCCAGTGCCAGTGTGTTACCTGAGTTTAATCGCATCCCTAACCCCACTCAGTTATTTCTGCTACACTTAAAGGTCCAGTGTGTAACATTTAGGAGGATATATTGGCAGAGGTATGTTTTCATTAGTGTAACACCACCTGAAAATGAGGATCCTTGTTCTCATTTTTCATGACTGCTGTTGTTTCTCCTACACACTTGGAATGGGAGGATGAGATGAGTTGATTGCAATCTGCAATCTCACCACTATATGCAACTAAATCCTACACTCTGGTCCTTTAATTATAACCGAGCCCTTACAATAATCTCTCCAATTCTAATAGAAGGGAATCACTATCTAAAGACTTCCTAAAAACGGGAAGCATACCTGAATGGGTTGTAAACTGCTCTTGGCTAAAGTTAATTAGCGATGTAGCTTAGCGAATCGGTGCATTTGGCCAACCTCAGTGTCAAAGCGTAGTGCTCAGTTGCAATTCAGTGCGAGCAAATACTGTGGCCGCGGCTGGTTCAGGGGTCGAACCATTTCACGTACAGGAAACTGGCCAAGAAAAGAGAAAATAAACTGCACATTGTAAATCAAAAATTCTATTAATGATGATTAATAGAGTCTTATAAGTCACGGGCCCTTAGATTTTTTAGTGACTTTTCTTTTTTTGTACGGCGCCTCTGCTCAGTCACTCATCAGTGCGCCCAAACAATTTTGTCACATTCACACACTCTAATTTTTCACTAGCATATGGAATGAAAAGCTGCACTGTGGAGCCCGGCAGCTGTGCTAAAGGAGAGGAGAGCTTCAACAGTAGCAGGCTGAGTTGAAGAAAACGTTTTATTTTAGCCGATGCCCAAAGGATTGGCTCTGGACGTGTCTAATACACACAAACACACACACATTTGACTTCACTTTGTCCCCGCCCCTTCAGAAAACAAACCTACGCTCTTCTACCAGATACACAGTCCTTTCTTCTTCCAGGAGTGAGATTATTTTTCTCTGTTGGTGTTTCTCTGACAAGCAGAGAGTGAAGCAGAGGTCGAGGTGTTGAAGCACCCAGTGTGGGTATTCCCATTTTGCTTTTTCACAGGTTCTCCTCTCCAGTAGCTGGTTATACAAACACAAACCGTCGCCCACCTGTGTCCACTCTGTGAGCAGGATGTGTGGGCCCGCGCTGCCAAACACACAGTCTGTGTTCTCTGCTGCGATAAGAACGGAGCGACTATTTCAACCATTTGCAGCCTCAGTCGCTGCCTGATCCACCAGTAAGACTTCATTTAAGAAGAGCTGGGGGAAAGATGAATACTAGTCATCTTGGCACTTTGAATTAATTGAGCTGAGCTGCAAACTGAAGCCTAATTAACATCTGAAATGTTAAACTTGATATCACTCCTACTGATTATCTGTGCTGAAACAAGGCTGTGAGTTAGCCTGCCTATATCTCCAGCTGCATCCTTTCTGTACTTTTGTATTTTTCAATCCCCCCCCCCCGCCTCCTCCAAATTTTTGGTTTAAAATGTGCAAACTACCTATAATTAAATGTACTCGCTTTTTAAGACCCAATTTCCTGAGCAGGAAGTCATTTGAATTAGAATTGAAATGAATCTGACCCCGGTAAGTAAATGCACTGGCCCCCTTTTTCCACTCCCTTGCCTCTTCTGGGCCGGGGATCATTCATGAATCACAAATGACAAATCTGAGTTTATTTCCTGCCATTTTGATCTTGGGATTCAAAGCGAGTGGCTCATTGTGCTGATACAAAAGCAACACACTCACAAACCACCAACACCACAGACACACACCACCACACCACACACCACACACACAAGCGAGCCAAGAGTGTGATGTTCTGATCTCGTCTTGACTCTGTTTGGCCAATAAAATAATGGCCTGGGCAGGGAATAAAGGGCAAGTCCAGCTGTCACAATTACACTCCAGCTGTGATTCACCCTATGTGCATTAATGTAATCATTGTAGGAACAGTTAATACACCTCAGCACTGTATCAGCATTCAGTGTTGTCTCTTTTATCTACCCAGGCAAGGTTGCCTGAGCTTTTTGACACCTTCACAAACTCACATCTGCAGTTGTTCCAGTGAAAAACATTGTATGTCGTTGACACCTGAGCGGATTCTCAGGAACAGCTGAGGTGTAAACGCTGCGATCAGAACTGGAGGTAGATACCAAGAAAATATTTTTTTTAATAGCGGTGTCCAGGGAAGAAGAAAATAATATATACAAATAGTCTGCTTGTAACATTTATGTGTGATAAGTTTTTTTCAGCAAAAAAAATATAATTTCCATATTTAAAATCCTTAAAAAGGCATCTACTCCTTCTACCTCATTAAAAACCCCAGAATCTATCAATATGCAAATGTTGTTTATTTCTAAAGTTTTCCAGTCCATTCTCGGTGTATGTGCACTGGTGGCTTCAGGTTTCGCCACCACACTTGTATAAGTTGCATACCAAACCAGGATTACTGAGTACTGTATTTAACTTCTAACTTGTCCTTTACTTGAGAATTTCTATACTCTGCCACTTTATACTACTCCACTACATTCATTTTGATATAGTTAGTCGCTACTTTTCAATTTAAGATTTTACATTAAAAACATATGATATAAGCTTACAAAATACAATACTTTGTGACGGTTGAGTAACAGAGTTGTTAAGAGTTCCACCAAATAGAGATTTCCCCTCTAAACTTCTTACATGGTTTTTCTTTTAAACTTCTTCAGCTACAAAGAAGTGACATTATCTAATATTTCACAAACACCCAAAGAAATAACACAAGATTTTGAAACTGAATTTGAAGGACCTTTACTTGTCATGGAGTACTCTCACATTGTTGTATTGTCTGGCACTAACCATCAGCAAAGATTTGGGGTTGAGTGTCTTGCTCAAGGAGACTCAAGGAGTGTAAGTGAATCAAAACAGTATTGTTGTGGGTTGCTGAACAATGAGTTGAAACTCCTAAAAAAAGCTCTGTAAAGCTGAGGGGAGCTGCAGATTCAGGTGCATTGTAATTCAATCCATCGTTATTGTAAAAATATCAATTATAGCATCTTTAAATTAGACTTTTTGGACAGTTATTAAGCTCCGAACAGAAGGTGCAGGAGTCTGGCTGCTTATCACAGGAGCATGAAGAGCATGAAGTCAGACACCGCGGCCTTTCGGGATCTCACAGCTGAAGAAGATGAGCAGATTTGTAACGCTCTGTGCCCTCACAAGGTTACAGTGTCAGAGTCAGCACCCAATGCCTCCACTGGAACATGACAGGAAGCACGCCGTCTCCGTCTGACGGGGCAGACAGAGGAAGGCGTCTGGAAACCTGCGCTCAGGGCGCGGGGCTGTTTGACATCTCGGTGAGCACCAAACAGTCAGGTCAAAGGTTACATGACGGGCAGCATAAAGCCTCGCCATCATTAAAGGGCTGTCAAGGTCAGGTCCGCCGACAGAATCACCATCTCTGCCACCATGACTGCACTTTTGGGGCTTCACTATGAAAATAAACACCCTGTCTAAACTGCTGGCCCCATGTCACATCCTCTTTAACTGGACAGAACCCCCTGCAGCGTCCCTTAATTAGGGCTAGACCATTGTATTGGTTTGCCAATATATCAGGCTGATATATGATGAAGGTTCTTCCCTAACTACAGCTCCTAAATATGTTATTATTTCATTATTTAAACTCTAATGTCTGACTAGAGAAACTGTTCCAGAGTGGTGTGGGAGGCTTTTATGCAACAGCTTCAGGCTGCAACCAGAAACCTGCTTAACCCTGCCTGCAGGAGCTGAACACCCAAAGAGGGACTATATTATTCTGGATTTGATGGTCTATATCTAAGGTTTTTTTTTTGCTATGACCCCTGAAATGAAGCAGCGTATACCAGCATGTGTCTGTTCAAACGAGAGGGGATTTTTCTTTGTAAGAGAGACATGTCAAACAATCCAGTATTACACTGAAAAAGTTGGAACAAGACATAAAATGTGAAAGCAGAATTTGTATTGTCCTTCTTTTTGGATTTATCGTGCAAACAGAGACCTGCTTCACCCCGCCTGCAGTATCTGAACACCCTACAGGAACTGTATTAGAAAGGTTTAAAGTTAAAGTTTTAGTCTTGATGGTCTGTATCTAACCATTAAAATGAAGCAGCAACCTTGTCACGGGTGATTCTTTCTTTGTCTAACTGCTTCATTACTGACATTAAAAGTAAAACTATCCAGAATTTCACAAAGAAAAACAATAATCAGAGAAAGGTTAGAACAAGAAACAAAATGTTGTAGCAGAATCTGAAGATTTCTTCTCTTTTCTCTTCTATTAACAACCTCATGACCCTTCTGATTTACCTTTTAAAACCTACTGGAATTCAGTTTTATGAATGTTGTCAGCTTTACTCATCTCCTACCATCACTGGTGGCTCTAACACACTTTAACGATGTAGTCAAACCCTGCTGTGCACTTCATGTAGGAGGGGGAAACGGAGGGATAAAGGGAGCAACCTTACACTTACAAGTCTCATGGAAGGAAAAAGTGAAGAAGAACATGACATCCAACAATACTAATGTGTGTGATGTTCAGCCAGGAAGACACTGGCAGCTGTGGAAACCCTCAAGTGAAACCATGTTGGGAAAGTTTGTAAAGCACCAGAAGAGCATCAGCATCAGCACCATCAGACACACACACACACACACACACACACTCTCACCTTCCAAGCAGCATGTCCTCCACAGGCCCGAGTGGGTCATCACCTCCTCGTTCTTCTTGCTGGTCTCGTTCTCGCTCATGGACTTGGTCTTGCAGACGCCGCGGGAGTACAGCCAGTAGTCCGTGCCGACCGCGATGGTCATGAGGCTGAAGGCCGCGAAGGCTCCCACCGTGGTCAGCAGCATCTGGACTCCGCGGTCGAACAGACCCATGTTTCCGCATTCCATGAAAGGGGGACCCCCTTTCCTCTTGATGTACAGGAAGTAAATATTTGAAAATTTGCGGGACCAAACCAAACCGAAAAAACGGGATATACTCGAGCGGAAGGAGAGGGAAGAAGGAGGAGGAGGATGCGGTAGGAACCTTATGGTTGCGTTTGGGTGAGAACCAAAACAAGAGAAAAACTGAGGGTTGTTTTGTTGTTTTGGGGGGTGGGGGGGTGGAGGAAGAGGCAGTGATGTCTCTCTCCTCTCTGTTTGTTCTTACTTTTATATAACCCCCCCCAAAAAAAGGAAGATTAAAAAAAAATCAGGTGTGCAGAGGATGACAGCCCTTCAGCAGAGCTTCAGCTGCAGATGTAGGAGCAAAAAAAAAAAAAAGCTACAAGCACTGAGCTATAAAGGATTAATTATGTCCTAAAGCCTATAGTGGCAGAGCCGAGCCTAAAAATGGCAGTGAGATAAACCAAACTGAGGTTTATTCTCTACAGGCCTGCAAAGAGAGGGGGAATAAAACTGTTTCTTGACTTGTAAAGGTTACAGCTAAGCACAGAGCTGAATTAACATGAGCTCAAATGGAGCACAGAGATGGTTGGGGGCGGTGTTAGAGTAATGGCAGGCTTACAGTACAACAGTTCAATATGTCTGTTACAGGGAGTTACAGTTACTTTAGTCAGAGGTTATAACATTGCGTTTACTAGTAAGAATTCTGAATTATAACTATACCAAAAAGCTACCCTAAAGACTATTATTAATAATATTATTCTAACGTGTTTTGTTTAGTCAAAAAGGGGGGAAAGCAAGGAGATAATAAACCGGGGAGGGAAACGAAGGACAGCAGGGAGAGCTATCATATTAGTGGAAACAAAAGAGAGTAAACAAATGGACGGATTCAAGTCCTGTCGAGGGGGAATAAAAGCAAATCTCGGGGTGTTTTATAGCGACCTATTGTGGGGTTAAAAGAAAATATCACGCTGGTTTCTCACAAATCAACCCTACACACGATGGAATGAGGAAATCAAGGCTCAACAAATAAATTAATTAATTTGGCAGGTTTTTTTTTTTTTTTTTTTAGAAAAACACACACTAAAACAGATAGAAACCGATAAAAACCTAAAAAAAAAACCTAAAAAAAAAAGAAAGAAAAGAAATTAACCGCGTAGATTTTCCTTTTTCCTAAAATTTTGATCCCCAGTTTCCATATGTAGCCCTATAGCTCTGGGAAGGTTTCCGCCGAAAATGGGGGTCTGCGGTCAGAGGAGGTTCGGTCGTCGACGATCCGGAGAGAGCGGGGAGCATCCAGCAAGGCAAGCCGACCATCACTCGACATAGAGCCGGCAGGAGGAGGACGAGGAGTCGGTGTGGGCGCCGCCGCAGCCGAGGATGCTTCTTCCGTGGATGGAGGAGGACGCTGCCGCCGCCGCCGCCGCCGCTTGGGTATCCAAATTCACCGTGGCAGTATCACACCCAGGACGGTCCCGTTTGTAAAGCCCTTGCGCCATGTAATACTAAGAAAAATAAATTCTGATGAATGTTGCAATCCCCCTGTTTTCCCCTCCTCCTCCTCTCCTCTTCTTCTTCTTCTTCTTCTTCTTGTTCTTCTTCCTCTTCCTCTTCCTCTCCTCCTTGCGCGCTCGGGTGCAGGTTTTGGCCGCGTGCAGGAAGAAGCCAAAAAAATAAAAAAAATATTACACAATCGGGGGAGCGACTCGCACAGATCCACAGACAGAGCTGGTGTTGTCACGATGTCAGTGTCAGCGGCGCTATAGCCTACA